GAGATATTAGGACTCAAAAACTGAAAAAAGGTCAAATTTCCAAACTTTTCAAGACTAAATTTCAACTTGCTTCAAATTGACCAAACTTTTTTTTTAAAATCATCTACAAGTTGCCTGGTGTTAATATATGACCCTAGATTTGAGATTTGACCTTTGGCTGACCTTGAAATTGCCAAAAACGCCTACAGGGCCTCCTTAAGATTGCTTGCAATCTTAAACCTCTAGTTTTTAATGTATTTTGAACATAATTCTTTTTTAAACATAAATTGATCAAGAAACATCTGACAAATCATGATACAGGAAGCAACCAAGGTACCATAAATCAGGATATGTCTGTTTACTACGTTGCTGTTGAGAAGTGATCAAAATATAAATCTTACCATAGATTAAAATCATTTGTAGGTGTTTTATACATTTTAATGCATTTATTGTGTGCATGACTAAAGTATTTGTACATTCTGGAAGAATTTCTGCTACAATATTATTTATACTTATTTATACTCCAGTAAAACAGTTGTAAATATTCACAAATAAAAAAAAATTGAACTACAGAGTCAAGTCTAGAGTCTTAGAGGGCTTAGCATCTAGTGTTTAATGGGTACATCCTCCAGAGTCTACAATGGGTACAGCATCCATAATCTAAGATTGATACAGCCTACAGAGTCTAAGTTGGTACATCTTCTAGAGTCTAAGATGTCAAGGATCACCATTTTGTCACAATAACACCAATCTGTGATTAATAAATGGGTCAGGAAATGCTTAGACAGAAGGGCGGGCAGATGGACAAACAGAGCAGTATTTCAACAAACAGCATTATTTGATGTGTAACCATTGCAAACACATCTCAATATCATCAAAACTTGTTTTTGTTAAAAAAAGGTCATACAGTAAAACAGTTCATAAGAATGAATGTAACAAACAATTTATTAAGGTATATGGATTGCCTGAAATGACCTCCACCCACCTCCCTTTTACATACATTATGTTGTGTTAATATGGCAACCAATTAACAAAACATGTTTATTTGGGACCACTTTTATTATGTCCCCACCACATAGTGTGGGGCCATATTGTCGGCCTAGGCGTGTCCGTCCGTCTGTCCGTCTGTCCGTCCGTACGTCCGGGAGTTTTCTCCAAAACCGCTACAGATATCACCTTCAAATTTTCAGGGATAACTTATGAGTGCATACAGATGTGGATGAAAAAAAATTAACTCGATACCTACTTCCTGTCGGCCATTTTGAAGTCAAATGCTAAAATCCTTGTCTGCAAACTTTAAGAAAAACGGCTTCACAGTTGCTTTTAAAACTTTAACATCTTGTTCAGCTCACTTCATTCTAGATCTGATTAGGTTTTGGACCTGTTAGCTCAGTCATGTCAGCCATTTTGAATGTCTTAAGAAAAGTTAGCGCACGATAATACTTTGTATCATATTGAATGGTGTTTTTGAGTTTTCATATTCTAACTATTTAGTAGCTTTATAAATAATTTCAGATGTACTTTGTTGTTAAAGCCTATGTTGTTGTTAACAGTATTTATATGTGATAATTTTGTAAAAAGAAATCAGCAAAAACTCATGATCACTTTTTTATTGTCAGCCATTTTGAATTTTTCCGTCCTAAAATCTTGTCTGTGGAGTCTTGTCTACATGTTTTCAGGTGAACCGTTCGGTGGATCAATTCTTGATTTTCAGGGATGATTCTTAGTATAAAAATCTAGATCTGATTAGTTTTTTGGCATTCTGGGTAAATGTCAAGGCAGCGATTTTGGATTTTCCGTCCTAAAATCTTGTCTGTAAAGTCTTGTCTACGCATTTTCAGGTGAACTGTTTGGTAGATCAATTTCAATTTTTCAGGGATGATCCTTAATATGAAAATGTACAACTGATTAGTTTTTTGGCATTCTGGGTAATTGTCAAGGCAGCCATTTTGGATTTTCCGTCCTAAAATATTGTCTGTAAAGTCTTGTCTACGCATTTCCAGGTGAACAGTTCTGTAGATCAATTTCAAATTTTCAGGGATGATTCTTAGTATGAAAATCTAGATCTGATTAGCATTTGGGCATTCTGGGTAAATGCCAAGGCAGCCATTTTGGATTTTCCGTCCTAAAATCTTGTCTGTAGAGTTTTGTCTACGCATTTCCCGGTGAACCATTTGGTAGATCAATTTCAAATTTTCAGGGATGATTCTTAATATGAAAATCTAGATCTGATTAGTTTTTTGGCATTCTGGATAAATGCCAAGGCAGCCATTTTGGATTTTCCGTCTTAAAATCCTGCCCGTAAAGTCTTGTCTACGCGTTTTTAGGTGAACCGTTTTGTAGATCAATTTCAAATTTTCAGGGATGATTCTTAGTATGAAAATCTAGATCTGATTAGTTTTTTGGCATTCTAGGTAAATTTTAAGGTGGCCATTTTGGATTTTCCGTCATCAAATTGTGTCAGTAAAGTCTTGTCTACTCATTTTTAGGATAACCATTTGACAGGATCACCCATAGGTGGGGACATTTTGTACACATTTGTGTTCTTGTTTATCATTTATGTTAATGACCTGTTCACGGCGTCACAAAGTCTTAAATCTGTTTTATTTGCAGATGACACTAATCTTCTAGCTTCTGACCATAATTTAACTAGACTTGTAAATACTGTTAATCAGGAACTCATTACTCTTGATGACTGGTTTAAAGCAAACCTCCTTTCTTTAAACTATTCAAAAACAAAATTCATTGTTTTCTCCAAAAAACGAAAAAAGATTTGTCAACAAATTGAAATATTTATAAATGGAACACAAATTGATAGGGTTCATGAAATAAATTTTTTGGGAGTAACATTTGATGAATTCCTTGACTGGAAAAGTCACATAAAAAAAGTAGAAAGAAAAATATCTAGAACCATTGGAATCTCATTCAAATGTAGATACTTGCTAAACATAAAAAGTATGTTAGCAATTTATAATTCTTTAATATATTCCTACTTGAATTATTGCACAATCATTTGGGCCGGAGCATATTCAGCTTTGGATAAACTACTCAAATTACAAAAATCATACCTTCGTCTCATGGCAGGAAAAGACAGGTTTGAGCACTCGGCTCCACTATTCAAACAATTTAGAATACTTCCAATGCATGATATCTATCAATTAAATGTTGGAATTTTTGTTTATTGCTGGTATAACAATATATTAGTCCACCGCAAGATTTTTGAAAACTATTTTACATTAAATGTTGACATTCATCGGTATCAAACTAGACATTCACATGATATCCATGCCTTCAAGTTCAAAACAAATATTGGCCTTTATTCACTGAAAGTTCAAGGTCAGCAAATCTGGAATTCTATATCTCATCATATTCGACAAGCAGCCTCACTCTCAATTTTTAAGTCTTTGTTCAAACAAAATAAAATAAATGACATACTTTTATAGTTTTAAAGATTTGAAAATGTCTTTACTATTGAAAATCTGTACTCTGCCACATTTTGTCTTATCAACTTATATATATATACATATTATAAACTTAGCAGCAATTACCCGTTCTCGTGTCCTGTGTCTCTGTCCCCGAGTGTTAATATTTTTTACATTTTTGAAATGATTTCCAACAGACTTGGGCCAGTGTCATCCTCAGGTATTTCTCCACTCCATTTTTATTTGTCTTACCTGTTGGTGTCACTGACCCATTTCTGTCCAGTTAAAACCAACATATATGCTCTTGAGAGCGTCATGTTGTATTGAATGTCATATATAATTTTCAAAATAGTAATGAATATCTGAATCTGAATCTGAATCTGACTCACCATATCAGATAATAACATATGTATCAATGACCCTTGTAAATATGATTCTGTCAACATGAAATTATTTTGAAATAACAAAAATTGCCACGCCTACTTTGTGGTAAATCGAGCAGTAGTTATCAAACATGAATAGGGTTCAAAGCCAAATATGTCAACCTATTCATATTTTTATCATGTTTTCTTGTAAACTCCTTCAATATGTATTAAGCTCAACTTTGCGTTCATTTCAAGAAATTAAAAATGACAAACTACCATCTGTTTGTAGAGAAACAGTTGATTTATCCTTAATATCTTCAGTATTTTGCAATTAAATTATGTTGCCATCGTAACCAATTGACCAATGAAGATCAAACTTTCCATGACTACTAATCATACATACTAATCATTCAAATTTGAATGTGATTGGAGGCACACAACAGAAAATATAAATGCTTATCATAGTACCCCCTCTTAAAATAAGACCAGGGGGTACAAATAGTGACTTTTACATGTTTTCCACTGTCTTTAACACATCATTATATATTTGTTGCACTAAGGTTAAATTAGTATTGCACTTTTCATTTATTTTTGATGTTTTTACTGGAGTATGAATTAACTTAAAAATTACAAGTTGATACTTTATTATATTACTCTATTGGTACAAATCTCAGGCCTGTAGCCAGGGGGGGGGGGGGGGGGGTTCACAGGGTCACCCCCCCCCCTGGCTAAAATTTCTTTCAAAATCATGCAGTTTTTCACCATTTTGAGCACTTCTCAAGTGATTTTAGCCATATTTGGGCCAAAATTGTCAAATGTGAACCCCCTGGAAGTTTTTGAAAACTGAACTTGGCAAATCCTGGCTACGGGCCTGAGATTAGTACCAAATTAGCACTCTGGCAAAAGTGCACTCATGAGCACTCATGCCACCAGTGCTAATTTAGTACTAATTCATAATATGAGTACTCATTTAGGGCTGAAAATCATTTTCATTAGTACTATTTTATCACTCATGAGATATTAGTACTAATTTAGCGCTTAAAAATCAGTGAAATTATATTTCATCACTCATCATATGAGTACTCCTTTATTACTATAACATGCAATAAATCAGTACTAATATTTACAGAAATAAGTACGAAATTAGCGCCATGAGTACTATTTAAGTACTCGGCATATCTCCCTGTGTATGTGGTGACTAAGGAAGTATAGTGTTTCCTTTGTTTCATTTCAGGAGCAGATAACATACTGTATAATCTACCTGTGTGACGTAGCATTCAGATCTGAGGGCTTCGCTAACGACAATATGCACGTGATTGATCTCAATTTCTTCATAAGGGCCTCACTACAAGGTCTTGAACTTTCTAGGTATGTTCTTTTCGTAATCTTGCATGTATCAGGCCTCTGGAACACCCCCCCCCCCATAATTTACATCACTTGAGTTGTTTAAATGGAGAATTTTACAGGGGCTTGATGCAGAATTAGATTGTTGAATTTTAAGGTCAATTTAAACCAAAACCAGTCAGCCACATTAGCACCTTAACAATTGTTTCTTAAAGAGAACGCTCTAAAGCAGTTGAGCTATCTATTATAATTAAAACCTTCTTGTTATCATACTTAGCAAAGATGTGGTATTGTTTTCAGCTGGGTCAGTGGAATAGGATTGTTCAGGGATGTTCCTGTGTTGAAAATACATAAAATTGATTAGATTTTGGGCATGCTATATAAAGAATTTGTTACCTCGAAAACCTAAAGATGCCCCCAAAGGTTACATTGAAAATAAGATGGAGCTTTTGATGGGAGTCACTCATTTTGTATGGTCTCCAGTGGATCAAAATTGACTTCCAAGACATGTTGGTCATGTTGTGCTATATAGGTTGAATGAAATCAAAAGTGACAAATCATAATTATCAGATAACACCAATATATGTACAAATATTTTTTTTTATTATTTTTATACATTTATTTTTTCATTAAACATACATCTGTTATAAATACTACATTGACTTATTTAATACACATCCTTAACCAATTCAATGTTTACTATGTAATATGTTTACTATATAATATTCTCTGCGATTAGCACACACTCTCTAATAAGCATCCACGCCACTTCACAAAGTTCAAGAAATATTGAGAAATGTCCAAGGAATAGTGAATATATGAGAAAAAGGTTCAAATTTCTGATGAAATAAGTGGGTGATAATAGAGTACTAACGGCATAAAAAATGACACATATTGTAATTAGATGGATCCTCCCAGTAAATATTTATCATTGGGTCCTTTTCTCACAATTCTAAACTCAAATCGAAGTACATACTATATGTATGACGATGGGACCTTGGATAAAGTTATCGTGTCATCTTTACAAACACAAGAGGAGAATCTAGTGTCCTTTTAATTCCAACTCCTGTTTTGCCCATAATGCTTTCATACAGAGTCCATTACTGTGAAACAAAAATACTCTGCTTTATTCCATATTAAATTAAAGTGAGTATCAGATCTAGCAAGCGATGTCAATGAATATTTTTGGCTCATATCATTCTTTGCCATGTCAGTTTTCTACAGTTATCTCCACAGTGCATATAATACTTTATTTGATGAAAACTACAGATTTTACAATAATATGTTCTTTTATTCATAATTGTGCTAGCCTTTATTATATACAGCATGCTAGAGAATGATAAATACCAGTATGTGTAATTCTATTTATTATATACTTAGCAAAAACTTTCAGGGTACAACTACATGTACTGAATCCTTTTGCAAACTCTTCTTCGAGTAAAATTTGATAAATTCATGACGTAAAGCTTTACTGGTGAGAAACTTCAAACATTTGATGGCACTGTAAAGACACAATACAAATATTGAATATAAGAAATGGAACAGTTGGCTGTCATTCATTCGAAATGTTATCTGTACTACCAGGTGGAAAAATGCTGCGATAAGCAAGACAATAACTTCGCTGGCAATCAACTTGTATTCCCAAATGAGATCTTTTTGGCGAGAAGGGTGGATGATACTAAGTTGCTCTTGTTGATTTTGACGATGCCCTCTAAAAGGCTTGGATGGAGAAAATGGAAAAATCTTATTCTTATTCCAGTTTTTGACTTTGAAACACTCGGCCGTTTTATTCTCATATTTGGGACAAATTTTATTCATCCCTTGTTCTACATTTACTTTTACAAAACTATTGAATGTCGCCTTAATATCATTGATTATTTTATCTTGTGGCTCTTCGTTTGAAAGTTCTTTGGAACGTGCTTCATTATTTTCTAATTCATTCAAGTCTATATGAATCTGGAATGCATCAACAGTGTTAGTTTGTATATCATCGTGCATGTTATCAAGCTTACAAACCTGGAATGCATCAAATGGTGGCTGCACATTTGACTGTTTTGCTCTGCTTTTAACATTAGGCTGAATATGTACAGTAAAAATCTTCTTCCTTAAAGACCATACCATCTTAGAATGTACAATTACCGTGAGACCAAAACAGCATATGTCAGCTACATTGTCCACCCAAACAAGGCCATTGTTGTCTGGTATTATGACAAGTATTACACAGTATAGACACACTATGACTGACATGACACAAATTATCCACCAAGGAATCCGTCTGTACGGTTGAGTAACTTTCACCATTCTAATAATTCCAATCAAACAAAGGCATTTCATACTCAGCCTACATATTGGTAAATATTTCCTCCAAGTAAAAACTCCCTGCAAGGTGCATTCGTTAAAATCCAAGGCCACAAGAATGCTTATTATGAATTCTTTGAGTATGCCGCAAATATGAACGAAAACTTGTACAAAATGAAATGTATTCTCTCGTATATGCAATCTTTTTCCTTTGTATGATAGAAACAGCCAGTTTATTTGAATGTACATAGCTATGCAACAAAATGTAATAACAGCCGCAGATGCAGTTCTGTAATAATGTCTACATCCATATTTGTCGCTCTTATCATCAAGCATTTGCTTGCAATTGACGACTGTAACATTTTCAACAATTGTGAAAGCAATGTCCGTAATACCTCGTTCAGTCATTTTGTTTCCAGGCTATAGATATTCGTTGGTTTTAAAAATCCTTAAAAACAATATTCTTATGGAATAGAACTGATGAGATTCCTGAGAATGCACTCTGCATGCGGTGTTTCAATTGGATGATTTTTTGAAATGATGCTTGCGTGATTAATAAACGAATATGACTGTTACGTGAGCAAACGAGTGAGCGATTTATAATATATATGGTTCTGGTAGATCCCCTACTGTTTTAATTGCTAATTGAAGTACAGATGTGCTAATCAAGCCATTCCTATTTTTTATTAAGGCTGTTTTGTCTTGTGGCTCATTTGAAATCCTCTATGACAATTCATATTGGTTTTACTTTTTAGTTTGTCTTTATAAAGTCTTTGGTTGTCCTATTAGTGAAAAATATCCAGAATAAAATGAATGAACATCTAGAAACCCCTAAAACAATAAAGGGAAAGAAAGAGCACAATGTCATGCAAAAAGACAGGGTTGTACTAAATACCACCTAGGTGCCCCACAACTAGGTGTCCCCATTGAAATACCATACTGGCATATTTTATTACTTTATTTCAAGCTAACATTTTTCAAAGTGTTAATATGGTACGTAATAAAATATTTTCATGGAACTTGTGTAAATATTTCTGTTTGTTTATGATATTTTTAATTGTCTTGTAAATTTTGATCGATGTCGAAAAATAAAATAGATATATTGTATTTAATAAATGGAATTTACACAAAGCGTAATGATGTGTTAACCCCGGGATGTTAACACTCTTAAATGTGTACTAATGTAAAATATTCTATTAAAGCATGCACGGTTAAAACGAGCAATATTATCAATGAAAAGTAATAAGCTTATTTAAAATCAAAATAATTACATGACAAACAAATGCAGATCTTTAAATTTTAAGTGTTAGGGGATTAAATGATGATACCGAAACATAGAAAACAGACATTATTCTTTCAAGAAACATTTACACAGACAATAGTGAAATGATAAATGAACTCATAGATTCAAGACATAGAGGAGTAGCAATATTGATATGGATATTAGCAAACGCATGCAAGGAATTATAATTTGATGAAAAACAACATCCTTGTTTCAAATTAGAGAAATCTGTTAATTATAATCAACACAAGAGGAAAAAACTAGCACGCCCTCTGAAAGAGGCCTCATACAGCTTTCTTAATTTTTTTTATTATTAAACCCCACGTTGGTAGCAACACAATAGAATGAGCTGCAGTTCATTTTAAAGAATGTACAGTTGTAACTGAAGAAGAAGATCTGCTTTTATTTATTGTTGGCGATTTTGGGACTTTTGATCCTTAAATCTTGTCTATGAAATCTCTACAGGTTTCAAGCCAAACCATTTGATGGATTGATCTGAAAATTTTAGGAATGTTTCATGATATAAAACTTAATAACTGATTAGTTTGGGTCATTCTGGGTAAATCTTAGGGTGGCCATTTTGGATTTTCTATCTAAAAATAATGTCTGTAAAGTCTTCTCTACATCTTTTGAACCAGATTATTTCATGGATCACTCTGAAATTTTCAAAGATATTTCTTGGTATCAATGTCTACAAATGCTTAGTCTTGAGACATTCTGGGTAAATTTTTAGATGCCAATTTTGAATGTTTTGTCCCAAAAACTAGTACACTGTACCACAAGACCATGTGAGCCAATTTGAGTGTTAAATTGAAAAAGAATTGATTAAAAGTTCTTCATTCTAGGTTCCGCACGGTGGCAAACCGTAATAACATTACCACTGCTGAGCACAACTGGCTATACAAGGTTGAGAGAAGCATTCTTGATCACCTCCAGGGATATCCAAATGTTGCTAGCTCAATCGTAAAGGAATACATTGATGCAATCAACAGTGTCGGGATTGGATTCTATGATGGCGTTTACCCATTGGTGCTGTTTGAGGCCTTGATTAGTCTCGCTACGGGCAGGAGTGATCTACAGAGCCCCCTTGTGGAGATGTGCGCTAACTTACTTCTAGATTCCAATAACCCACAAGAGAAATTTACTCTACCCTCTAGTAACAGTTTCGACATAATGCTTGAGCGTAAGTACAGAATTAGTATGGCTTTCAAGAAAGGGTATCCAACATTTCAAATTCCATATATGACCATCACCTTGGGTTTTCAAACTTGGAGAAAAATGATTCCTCAACACATTCCAATAAAAAATCTCTGTATGTTTTATAAATAATTCAAAGAAATTCAAAAAAACATTCATATCTTAAAAGTCCATTGTTTATACCTATTGATAGAGGTGTCATGGATACCCGGTTTTGTTCCGACCCGCGGAATTACACTCTCCGGGAACAGAACACAGAACAAAAATTAAGAATTTCTGTTCGGTTCCAGGACAAGAAAATCTTACCCTTTCACAACTTGTGGCCCTTAAAACAGCATTTTTCTTTCAATATTTTGCACCTAAAGAAGTCCATTCTTTACACTCCTTCTCATTGAAGGGTTTTGAAGAGCTTTTCGCGACCAAATAAACCTAGACAATCAACTTATTTTAACCTAATACACAGTTACTCTGTTCAGTTCTGAACCAAAATGTTCCAAACCAAACCGTTTCGATTTTTTTTCTGTGACATCTCTACAAATGTACATTACATGTATTTATGCAAACATGTATCATAGTCTATATTATTAATACATATCTCTAATGAATGATAAGCATTTTATTGTTATTGCTAAACAAACATTTCAGGTATTTCAACAATCCCAAAACATCAAATAATTACTCGTAATAGGTCTCCTGCTACCAATATCTTTTGCAAACAGATCACAATAAACTGATCAAAATAAATCAATTAATATTATGCAATTAAAGTTCCAATTTATTTTAAATCATATTTTCACAAACCCTCAAATATTTCAATCTTCTGACAAAAATGAATTAAATCAGCATATCAATCTGAAATTCACTTTCTCTGAAACTCTGCCAGATTTGATTGACAGTTGCCATATTTGGAAAGTGAAATTGATGGCCTGTGTTCAAGGAGGATTGGCTCCCAGAGTGCACCACCGATATTCTGTCCCATATATGGGTATGTCGTAATACAAAATTCGAATTCAAACAGCCGCCATTTTGTTCACTTCAACATTTAAATCGTGAATTTTGGTCTTATTTCCAAACGAAAAATTCCAAAACTCACAAGAAACGATCGAGATATTGGTTCGAATCTTTTGAACTGTTTATTTTGAATTTATAGTCGGTTTTAATTTCAGAAAATAACGACATTTCGACGTTTTCATTGTTGGAAAATATCGAGTTTCGATCCTGGGAGCCAATCCTCCTTGGCCTGTGTTAAAACTGCAAGGTCAAGCTGATCTGGTCACTCTCTAAGATAATTTAAAACCTGATGTATGGCTAAAAACAATCAAATCCTAGCCTTAATTTCTCAGCTAAAATACATTTGTGGCAAAAAACGACCTTTCAAACCATTGTTTATCATCCAATATCTATTGACTTTTGAACTTTTAAATTAAATTGTTTTCATCAAAATGAGATTTTAGCAATGTTTTGTCAGACAGTATTTTCAAAGAGTTTTGAATCAGATTCGGAAGTGTGCAATCAGTGATTTCAAATGTTACAAAGGGAGGTGGGTTATAAAGAGAAAGAAGATGGGGAATATATAGCTAGAAGATGCTTAAAACATTCATCTAAGCAAATTATTAACTTTTTATGCGCTTTGGGGAAGCAATTGTAAATATATTATTATTGTATAAACAGGTCATTCTTAATGAGCCTAAAAACATCATTATTTGTTAATTTTTAAATAAATGAATTGAATTTTAACTGTTTTTTATGTCATCACCACAAGAGGTGACATAGTGTTATAGTCTCCAACTTTTTGTGGCGGTGGTTGGTGTTCAGCATCTGGCGTCTGTAAACATGGCATTTATAACATTGGCATCTGTAACAAATGGCAGGTGGTGACACTTTGTTAATGCTTTGTCTAAATTGTTTAATTTCTTACTTTTCAGTGTTTGATGATGGTCAAACAGAGGCACTCTCAAGACAACACAGGGATTTTGCTGCTAAGAAACTAACACAGATATCTGAAACTTTCCTAGCTGAAATAGATGTCAGTAAGAGGTCTAACCACGAACTGCTAACTAAGGTTTTCAACATTATTTACTCTTCACATCCTTTATGTATGATAAATGATTAAATAATGTTTTTACATGCCTTGACTTGGCTAGGATGAGTTTGATCAATATTTCATTATTTTTTGGAAAGTAAAGTATATTTACTGTTATTTACCTTGGTGGTTAATTACTCAAGTTATGCCATATTATCCCCCAGGAATTTCTGAGAATGAAATGAGAAAGCACAAAAGGGGAATAAACAAAGAAGTCTTACCAGGGGCTGCATCATGGGTAAGCACTACCCCTGAGGTGTATGGATCGGAAAATACATGTACTTCTCGATTTGAATTCTGATTATTATACATATTTTTTGTTTGTGTATGTTTTAGGTACTTCAAAACTTGGAGGGCTATGAGGACCACAGACTGTTACAGATGATATGTAGCAATCTAAAGCTTCACATGAGTAAGATCACCCACCAGGACCACATAGAAAGCTGTCTCAAGGTTGTTGTTCATTGTGTGAAACTTTCCCGTGGGAATGGCATCGTCTTCAACTTCCTGCTGGATCAACGAGATAAAGACTTTATTCTGACTCTGGCAAAGAAAGTCGGAATTAGCTGTCTTAAGCTATTTGTCTCTGATTGGCGGGAATTTTTCTCCAATTATGAGATTAAGCGGCTGCTGATGCACCTAAAGGAGACCATACTTGAATGTAAGTCTCTCCCCAAGGAGGTTGTCACACTTATTATGCACTACTACGAGTCTGTAGAGCAGCACGAGGAACACGCCTGTGATCTTCTCTCATTCTTCAAGCCAAATGACTCCAACTACACAAAGGCCGTCATGAAGATTCTCGCCAATGCTAATCGCTACCCACCAAATGCTTTGTTCCAACTTGCCAAAATGCAACATGATGCTAAAAAAGTGAAATCGGAAATTATGGACAAAAACACTATGGATATAGTTGAGTTGGCTCTAAAACAACTCGAGAAGTCGTATAATGGGTATGAGGCCAGCCAAACTGTGCTCAATCATATAGACTGGATGTACAAACTGTGTACAAGTGGTGCCCTGGGTCAGCCTAAAGAGATCTCAAAGAGTGAACAGTTTACTAAAATGGTCTCTACGCTCAGTGAAACTTGCAGTAAACACCCGGAGATTATTCTCAGAGTATTACAGCATCTTGAGAAATGTCCAGATCTGTTGAAAAAATGCTCAAGCTTAGGGAACACTCTAATCGATGCATACAGGAACTCGTTTGAACACCAGTTTCAGGATTGTGGACATGGTTCATACGGCTCTGTGATCACTGAAATGGTGAAAGCAAGACTACATTGTAAACAATATGCCAAGAATGGTGGCGATACAAAGTTTGATGATGTAGTTGTCGAGCATGTAAAATTTGTCCATAGCGGTAAGAAAAAACTTCAGAGAATGATTGATGAAGAATTTGGAAGAAAGCGTCTTACATAGAAACCTAGTACAAATGTACCTGTTCAGACATATGTAGAGAAAATCAGATTTATATACAGGAGTCAGAGTTATAATGTACAGTTGACATAGATATTTAGATTAAAAAAGACATGTACTTCTATATCTTACTATAGTAAGACACAGAATATATAGAAAGTCACTCAAGCTCAGACACATTGCAAGAAAGGTTAACATATGTATTTAAAGTCAGGTACAATAACTGAGAGACAAACATATGTTCCAATAGACAGATAATGTACTGAAAGTCAAGACTTATGTACTGAGATTCAAATACCAGTAAATGTACATGAACAGAAAGTCAGATTTGTACTGGTAGACATTATGAAGTAAATGATAGACATGTGTCATTGGATTCTCTTCTTTGTACCTCACATTCATTTTCAACCTTAGTGTGAAATCTCAACACAATAAAACAGACAGACATGCACTCAGTGACGTAGCCAGGAAGACGAAGAAAAAAGTGACGAGGCGAAAAATATTTCCAAACCTTTAAAAAGCGACAAGGCGGTTCATCCTGGCTTCGCTAATTACATGTGACCCCATCATGGAAAAATTATCTTGTGAGAAACATTTCCATCATTTATATTCCCAAATCGATAAAAGTTATACAATTAATTTATAACTCATCATTGATAGAGGGATATCTCAAAGGATGTTAAAATAGAGACGAGGCAAGTGCCTCATCTGCCTCATCTGGCTATGCTAGAGGCACTGATGCATACACAAAAACATTCAAGCTCGCAATCATCACTCTACTATACCTTGCATTTGGTGTTCATGAGCAACTCGTTTGGTTTATTAGTAATGATTCTTTATTTGTTTTTATTTCTCTGTTCCTTATTAATGCTTTATGGGTTGAATGTTAGATGTTACTAAGGCACTTTCAAAAATATACTAAACAATACAATTAGACAAACAAATTATCTTATGCATTTCTAGGTGTTAGGTATAGTAGAGTGAATCATACACACATACATGCAAAGCAACATGTGTTGTACATCAAAAGTTTATTGTATTATAATGGTGCAAAATGTAAATAGCATTTATGTACAGTTTTTGTATTACAATTAGTCTAAGATAATGATTAGTCCCATATACAAATACTGTAACAACGGATCTCTGTCTCCATGCATTAGACTGTATTATGAAACGAACCTCCTAAACTGTAAGAGATTTTTGGGAAACTGAAAAAATAAGTACTGTAGCATATATGCACCTTAATATTATACCTGACCATGTCCATTTCATCAACAGTGTCTATATAAGGATTTGTATATGATTCTTGTCATGTCGCACTTGAAGAATGCTAAATTGTAGTTCTCTTGCTGAAGAGATCTCGATATCATTTTGGCATCACTGTTCAACATGCAGTGTCTAATAACACTGAGAATAGAGGTAGTGTTCCTTTATATGATGATGATCATAATGTATGATGTTCCTGTATAAAATTGCCATACATGGTCTGATATGACATTGGGCTTCAAATTGTGACATATTTGGAAAAAATGCTCTCTATCCTATGATTCTGCTTCAATGATATGTATAATTTGAATAGATGGTGTAAATGAACATATACAGTGATTCTCGATAACACTCCTGATTTGTAAAATATATATTCAAATATACAGTGATTCTCGATAACACTCCTGATCTGTAAAATGTATATTCAAAGTTCTATGTAAGTTCATCTCTCTGGTTAATATATCAGAAACAAGTCAAATTCTTTACTTCAGAGAATATTTTTAATTTATTGAGACTTTCGACTAATATCCCTTAGTCTTTTTCAAAATATAACAGCATGTATACATTTATGTGACGTCATAAACAGACAATGGAAAATTTAATTATGTAACAAATGACCTAGTAACCTAAAAAATAACAACAACAAAAAACATAGATACGAAAAAACGAATGACCTAATAATAACCTTAAGATAAATATATCATCAATATATCATCATTGAACAAGACGGATCTTTGTCATTTAGTGTTTACCGCAAACCAACGCACACAAATCAGTATTTGCATTTCCAATCAAATCATTCTCTTGATACTAAAAGAGGAGTTGTCAAATCCCTCTTTAGGAGGGCAGAAACATTGGTAACTAAAGAGGAAGATCTAAAGAAAGAAAAGGAACTGGTTTGCCGATCATTAAAGGAGTGTGGGTACCCGGAATGGCTGATTAAAGAAGGTGAAAGACATGCGACAAATAATGTAAACAGAACAAGAAATGATGACGATATAAGGTGTACTGCAGTTCTTCCGTATATCCCTAGTATTTCCAACCAGTTAACGGCGTATTTTTAAAAGGCATCGTGTCCGAGTATGTTTCTCATCGCAGAATACTATCAAGAAACAGTTGGTGCATTTAAAGGACAAAACTAATGATCAAAAGAAGTCCGGTGTAATTTACAAAATTGATTGTAAAGACTGTATTGCCACTTATGTAGGTGAAACAAAGCGGGAACTAGTTACTAGAATCAGAGAACATCGTAGACCCACATTACTGTCGACTGGAGGTCTTGCTTCTGCGGTTATTGAACATTCCATGGAATATGATCATAATATAAACTGGAACAATGTAAAAATCATTGATAATGAGAGTCATGATCTTAAACGTAGGGTTAAGGAAGCAATTCATATAAAAACAATGCAACCTAAAATGAACAGAGATAATGGGTATCAGTTGGACAATTTGTATCATAAAATATTGTAAATTAAGAATGGTATAGCAAAGTATGCAATAGTAATATTTGAGTTTAATTGTTACCATAACGATGATATATTTATCTTAAGGTTATTATTAGGTCATTCGTTTTTTCGTATCTATGTTTTTTGTTGTTGTTATTTTTTAGGTTACTAGGTCATTTGTTACATAATTAAATTTTCCATTGTCTGTTTATGACGTCACATAAATGTATACATGCTGTTATATTTTGAAAAAGACTAAGGGATATTAGTCGAAAGTCTCAATAAATTAAAAATATTCTCTGAAGTAAAGAATTTGACTTGTTTCTGATATATTCAAAGTGTTTTCTGAAACAGTTTATGTTTTGATGCTGATAGATATGACATTATCATGCATTCAAATGCAGTCAAATGATGCTTTAAGTTATGTTATTATCATATACATGTTGTAACAAGATGTTATTCTAACATGGATGTTATTTTCAGTAAATATGGTGGTGAATGGCCATTTTTGGAATCATGGGATTAGGCAATCTTGGAATTATGGGATTTGCCAATCTTGGAATTATGGGATTAGGCAATCTTGGAATTATGGGATTTGCCAATCTTGGAATTATGGGATTAGGCAATCTTGGAATTATGGGATTTGCCAATCTTGGAATTATGGGATTAGGCAATCTTGGAATTATGGGATTTGCCAATCTTGGAATTATGGGATTAGGCAATCTTGGAATTATGGGATGTCTGTAGGTGTTGTGCCAATGTTTGACACATCAGTGACATCAGTTAGTCGGAAAACTATTTCTTTTGCCATTAAAAGATGATGTGACAAGTTGAGTGAAGCTTGAAAGGGTTGAGTAGTTTGATGATCTCTAAGTTATGCAAGAATGCTATCACAAATGCTAATCTTGAATTTTTCCCATTGAAAGCTATATATCTAATCTACTAGAACGAATGAGCAATTTTGTTAGTGGGAAATTTTTATTTTACCACAATCTCAAATATAAATAAATATGAGTATATGGTAAATATGAGTTGAATTATGTAATTGCCATACTCAGAATGGATCAGGGATCAGGTAAAGGTTTGGAAGAGAATTCAATGTTGAGCCCCCTGAACACTCACATTCTACCACTGTTAAATATAGTTGCCATTGCTATTGTAGAGTTCAGAGTCCTCATCATTGCCCATCCACATCACAAACACAATTGGAAATTTGCGGATGACCCGTGATGAAGCCTCTGTAATGTGTTCATAAATATTAATACATGTCAGTGATCTCCACAGGATTTTTTATCAAGTGGGTGCAAAATTCTCATTTTCACAATGCAGACCAAAATTTATCAAAATATGCCAATTTTTATGATTTTTCTCATTTTCATGTTGGTGCAAATGGATTTTTCAGGTGGGTGCAAGCCTGTTTTTAAAATCTCAGGTGGGTGCTGCGCCCGCTTGCTTTAATTCTGGGGAGATCACTGCATGTATATGCATTTTGTTTATTCAGATTGCTATTAAAGTTGCAGCAAAGAATAGAGGGTGATGGAAGCAATCTTTTCAAAAAGCATGCCAATGTTTACCTTACAAACATCATTTCATTATTTAAAAAAGAGATTGAGATATCTGATAACCTATTGAAGATTTAACATGCATAAATGTCCAAATTCGTTACAATTCAAAAAACAATGTTTACTTTTTCAGAATGATTGCAAAATAACCTAAAAAAAATCAAAGCGTTACTATGAAATGAAGTGAGAACTGTTTAACTTTTGAGAAAATTGCTGTTAGAAAAAACTAAAATTCATTGGTCAGTTTTTTGAGAAAGTTGCTTTGAGCTCATCTTTGTTGCCCCTTCAAGTTATGATACATCTTTTGCATTTTTTTCTTATTCTAAATCTTATGTTAGCTGTCTAAATATTCTATGACCTATGGCAAAATATGTGAGTTAAATCAATTTGGAAAAAATTGCAGTTGATATCAGTAATGAATCATGAAATTCAAAAAATTAGACATCTCATTGTATACATATTGGGATTTGTTGAAAACTTTGTTATAAAGAATAATATTATGTTCTGTTTTGTTGCAAAATCATATGTAGATGTATTCCATTGTATGTTATTGTGATAAATAAACAATAATTTTCATTTAATGTTATTTTTACTATCTATGCACACCCCAAAACTTAACATCCCTAAGCTGGCAGTAGCATCATCTTCAGATGGTGATGTGGCATAGGATCAGCATCTATATCTACATGTTCTTAACCCCTCTTTTTGAGAATAAGTCAAATGGACCATTGCTGTTATTTCAATGTGAATTTAGTTTTTCTCTTTATTTAAAGATGGCACACCTGCATAATCTTCAGTTAACTTGCCTCCCTGACAGATCCAAATAAAACTAGACTTTTGAAGATTGCAAGCAATCTCACGGAGGCCCTCTTAGGCATTTTTGACAATTTGAAGGTCAACTAAAGGACAAATATCAAATCTGAGGTCAGATGTGAATTTCTGAGAACTTGTAGATGATTTTCAAAAAACGATTTTGTCAATTTGAAGCGAGTTTAAATTTGAACTTGAAAAATTTCGAAATTGACCTTTTTTCAATTTTTGAACTCTTATATCTCAAACTGGGACAAAATTCTATTAGATAGTCAATTGCTTATATGTGTAGAACCCTTAATTAGAGGGATGTGTATATTTCGACTTTGGGGTAAAAATATTGGTTTGTAGTCTCGAACTTTGCGAAACTTAGAAAGCACAGTTTGTGACCTAATTTCATGATCTTGACCTTTGACCTTGAAAAGTTTTACCCTTTTAGACCTCAGTAGGTCTTTTTTAATCAGGCTGACCTAAATTTCAATCCAAAGACTCAATTTGAAAAATCAACTTTTCTTACCTTTCGAAGGTCATTGAAGGTCAACTAAAGGCCAAAGGTCAAATATGAGGTCAGATTCGGACTCCTGGGAATTTGTAGATGATTTTTAAAAAAAAAATTGGTCAGATTGAAGCAAGTTGAAAAATGACCTTTTTTGACCGTTTTTTGACGTCAAATATCTCAAAAATGGTAAAAATTCAATGCTGACATATAGTAAACAATTTGTAGAAAATACTTAAATGTAGTTTCAGTTTAATTCATCGCAAGAAATAATGAAGTATAAGGACAAAGTTGAGAAACTTGAAAAAAATTTAGATTTGACCTAGATTTTGACCTTTGACCTAATTTGATAACCGTGACCCTTGACCTTGAAAATTTTACTGTTTTAGAGCTCAGTGGGTCTTTTATGATTAGGCTTACCCTAAATTTGAATCCAAAAACTCAATTTGAAAAATCAACTTTTCTGACCTTTCGAAGGTCACTGAAGGTCGACTAAAGGTCAAATGTCAAATCTGAGGTTAAATATGAACTCCTGAGAAGTTGTAGATGATTTTTAAAAAAAAGTTTGGTGAATTTGAAGCAAGTTAAAATTTGACCTTATAAACTTTAAAAAATTGACCTTTTTCAGTTTTTGAGCTCTTATGTCTCAAAACTGGGACAAACTTTTAATAAATAGTCAATGACTAATATGTGTAGAACCCTCAGAGGAATGTACATCTTGACTTTCAATTAAAAATATTGATTTGTAGTCTTGAACTATGAGAAACTTAGATAGCACAGTTTGTGACCTAATTTGATGACCTTGACCTTTGACCTTGAAATTTTTAGACCTCAGTAGGCTATTTGTAATTAGATTGACTTAAATTTGAATCCAAAGACTCAGTTTGAAAAATCAACTTTTCTGACCTTTCGAAGGTCATTGAAGGTCAACTAAAGGTCAAAGGTCAAATCTGAGGTCAGATTCGGACTCCTAGGAACTTGTAGATGATTTTTAAAAAAAAATTTGGTCAGATTGAAGCAAGTTAAAAAATGACCTTTTTTGACCGTTTTTTGACGTCAAATATCTCAAAAACGGTAAAAATTTAATGCTGACATATAGTGAACAATTTGTAGAGAATACTTAAATGTAGTTTCAGTTTAATTCATCGCAAGAAATAATGAAGTATAAGGACAAACTTGAGAAACTTTAAAAAAAACTTAGATTTGACCTAGATTTTGACCTTTGACCTTGACCTAGATAAAAAATATTTTCCCCCCTATTCCAGCCAAGGTTACTAGTAGGATCATATAGTAGGTAGTTGAAAGCTAGTTGGAAGTAGGAGAAAAATGCTTTGGAAGAATAATAAAAATAAAGAATAAAGAATAAAGAAAAGCTACAAAAGCTATAGGAGGCCCTTTCAGGAGGGCCTCCTAATCACTGGTGATCCACTCGATTACGCTGGTTACCAAAACGAACTGTTTTGGTAACAAAATGTCGGAACGTCGAAGGCACTATTTTTCTGTTTTTCTTATTTCACGCGTTGTAGGCAGAATCCCTATGACGTTTTTTCTCACAACGTACAGCAGTATCATATGTTTTAGAAAATGTACATGTTTGCGAAAAAATAGCTCAGAGGACAACAGAATCGTCGATTTACTTCCTCACTTAAGTTACATAAACGGTTTTCCGAAAATCAGTTAAGATCTGCACTTTTAACCCAAACCGTTTATGTAACTTAAGTGAGGAAGTAAATCGACGATTCTGTTGTCTTCTGAACTATTTGGTCGCAAATATGTACAATTTCTTAAACATATGATACTGATACACGTTTGTGTTAAAAAATGTCATGGGAATTCTGCCTAAAACGTGTAAAATAAGGAAACGAGAAAATCGTACCTTCCGGATGTTCCGCCATTTGGTTACCAAAACGAACCGTTTTGGTAACCAGCGTAATCGAGTGGATCACCAGTGCTAATAATGTATACTACTTTTCCCTTTGTATTTGTAACAGTTGAGCATTAGAGAGTATTACATTGACATTTTTAGCCTGAAAATTATCCCCCTATCCTTATATGACTTGAAGAAAACATTTGTGTGTGACATAATGTAGACAATGCACTCTCTCTCACACTCAATACCATGCACTTACCCATCGAGGATTATACACAATCAGGGGCAGGTTTGGAAAAGGTTTTGGGCCCCAATTTTTAAATTTTGACCTCCAATTTTGAGAATTTTGGCACAATATCTGGAATTTTGGGCCCAATTTCAAAAAGAGATTGAGAGATTTTAAAAAATGCCCAGTGATCAGTAAGTTCCCTAAAGTGCCCAATTTACAGCTTGGACCATAAAGAAATGAGTCATGGATTTACTAAATTGAGGATTTCCCATGCTAAAAGTAAGAGAATTTTCAAGAGGCCATCATCCATCATTGGATGTATATAAAACATATTCTGATCCTCCCCCCTCGGATCAGCCAGTGACAGCAGTTGCATCATTGGAACTGATCATAACAAAATCAAAATTCAATAATTATTCAAAATTGATTAGACTACTGTAATGTGAACAAAACATGGTCAAAAATTTATAAAACAAATATAATTTCGTTTATATATTTGACGTTATCATATTATGGGCCATCGTATCAATATTGAACAATTAGGACAACGCCATCTATTGAGTGTTTACATTCTGCAGAAGAAGCGGCACATGCGAATTGCTGGAGTACACCAGGGATGATTTTAGGCTTCCAAAGTAGCCAAAAGTCAATCAACATGTGGAAATATAGTACTTTATTAACGCTTCTTGGATTACTTAATGTTTTTATGGCATATGGACAAGATACAGGTGAGTTTTCACTTTATTTCTCATTTCAATGAGAATTGAAATTTTTGAAATTTTTTTGAAAATTTTGATCTGGTTTCAACTTTCAATTTAGATCGTTTCATTTCTTGAAAATCACGAATTTTTTGTGCATCAGTATGCCGCAAAATGAAAAATGATTCCCTCATTGAATAATGTATTCATAAACTTTTCATTTTTGATTGCTTCTCATTTTGCACCTGTGTTGTAATTCTGAAATTTGTAGGATAGCTTCAGCTTGCCATTCAAGAGCATTCTCTTGAAAACCCATGCAACTTCTGAGGTCAACATTGTGCAAGTATTATGTACTTGTATTTCACATTCTCCATCTTCAGGCAGTTTAAATGCAAAAGTGACATGATATTCTAACTTACCATACAGCTTCCAGTTTTTTCACCGACGACCCATTACCAAGATAAAATGACCACTACTGGCAGAAAACTGTGGGAAAGTTTGTGTGCCACTTTATTAGACAATCAACAAGCAATCTTTGTTCTGAAAAGAATATGCTCTCGATGGTCAGGAACCGAACAGTATCTATAACTTCTATTTTTGTGTGGGCATTCAAACATGGAAAACCAATACTCAACTACAGTACATGAATGGTAATCTCTAAGAATTGTAGCTGTATCAATGTTTCGTCATGGGCTTGGTTTCGTATCTATAAAAGATTTCTTCCCAGAAATGAGACAATCAGAGGTTGTTTCTGTTGTACGAACTCACTTTACATAAAAGATACAGTAACATAATAGGCTTGATTGAGAGTCAGTGAGTCACGGTGACTGTTATCTTTTTGATTGCACTGATAAATCATCAAATGCAGTGAAAACAAGCTTATAACTTGTCCGTTGTATCCTATAATTAGGTCCATTTAGTTTGTATTTATAAACCCATGCTATTAACATGAATATCTCCTTTGAGTGATAACCTAATGGAGTGAAATAATAGCAGAGACAAACAGATCAGGGTTTGCTTTACCAATCTCTGACATTTCCATTCTCTGACTTTCTAAAAATGCATGAATTTTTAACTGGATTACCTTGATTATGAAAACGAAGCTCTCTGTATTAAAGCATTGAAATCAAATTATTTGAAAGGGTACAAAAGGATTTGTTTGCTTGAAAGCAAAGCTCAAAGCAGTATATCACTTCTAATGTCAATGATTTGATGCAAACTAGATCTAAAGTGATTTTGAAAAAAAACTGGGTCTAAAGCTGTAAAAGGTTCTAGATTAAAAATGTTACATACATTGTGACAAATTGACACAATCAATTATTTTATTATATCAAAAGTCTATTGTTTTGTTTGTTTGTACTTTATCTGTTTCAAAAATCATCATTTAAAAAACTTCATCTGTATTTGTACTAAAATCCAGGGGTCAAGTTTTAAGGTATGCAGTTTAAACAAGTACCTTACATTTAAATTTCAAGTATATACAGTTTGTATAGTACATATACTGAAAAAGTTGATCTTTTAAACTTGATCGTGTTTAACACTGTCTATGAATGTAAAAAAGTTACATGAATGAAAATGAGAAGTTGTGGTGTATTTAACTTAAACATTTATTGTGTCAGTTTTGCATTCATAGTAATATATCAAACTCATATTTTTTACAGTTAACATTCAGCTTTTCTCTCCGATGATCATGTACTATAGTAAAACACATGGTATACATTTTATTCATCAACTTTTGTAAGATTGGGTTTTCGGATCTTTTCTTTTAATTGGGGTCTTATTTATACTTTTAACAAAAAAGTTCTGGTCAATTTTCTTCTCATGATACAGTAAGCATTGTAAAAATCATATTTTCACTTTTAAGTTTTGATCGTATTATATATCATGTAAGCACACAGCACGTGGCAGATTACACTTAGAAAATGTTGATTATTAGACCAAGTCTTGTTTTTATTAATTCAGACAAAATCCAATGGAGTGTGCTTCAACTGTTAAATAATTTAAATATTCCTTTTATAAGAAGCCAGCCAGGCCAAATCCTGATCACTTCAACTTAATATCAGAAGTATTATAACCTAGGGCATTATGTACAGTTAAATATTGTTACGATTTTTAGACCTTTTATGTTATGTATAATATTTGGTAAGGGCCTTAAAAGCTTTTTAGCTTATAGCATGTGGCGGTCAGTTGAAAGCCTTTACAGAGGCCAAAAAGGAAACTCATGGAGAGAAACTAGATAAGATTATTACAACTAATATGTCTGATCTACTGAAAATGATGTTTGATGTGCTAGCAATTTCTTTTTCATAGAAAAATTCTATGAAGATAGAAAATTCAGAGACTGATCAACAATTATGAGTTTGCTAACTTGTAAACATTAGACTCATCTGAAAAATGGAGAAACACTTCAACAAATCAATTTGCTTTTCATCTAAACTCTCTGATAAATGACTTTAACCTATAAGTCAAAGTGTCTAAATGGGAATGTAAAGGTCAAACCTATTGCAACAACATAAGTCAAATATTATTCTCCACTTTCTAAGGAGATATTTTTGTTAGCCTTGTAAAAAAACTGTAAAACAAATATCTTTATGATGGTTCAGTGGAAGTTAACAGTTCTAGAATAAGTCAAGGAATCAAATGACAATATAGGGATTGTACTGTATGTTTTATACCAAGAACATAAAGATGATTTTATTTATAAGAATTGGCTGAGAAAACTGAAGGTACAAAGCAAAACCTGATCTGTTAGTCAATTTTTGCCAAAATGTGACATTCCAATTTTTCATTTTGCAATTTTTAAATTATTCTGTATTCAGTAGACATATTCCATACTGATTTTTCAGAGTATTTCTTTATCTAATACTTGTGATTTGTAAGGTCTTCCAGAGATTAATTAAGAGGCTTTTGTTTTGATATTAACTCACATATTTGAGTTTACTATTCTTTACCCTTTACGCGTGTTTTCAAAAAGTGCCCTGTTTACACGTATCTTCAAAATCCTTTGAGAGGAATTATAGCTACTTTCAGATGATAGATTTTGTAGTTTAAAAATTTATGAAGAATGGTTGATCAGATGTTCATGTATCGTCTGGATGGGTATCTATCTGAATTGTTTTTTTTATTTCGTTACACTCCTTCTGCCTTACTTGTTAGGGAGTCAGTAAGCTACAAATTCTTATACCTTGTAAAAATATGAATTGTTCTGTTAAAACATGAATTATTATTCTTTTGGCCTCTTGTTTTGGGGACCTTACTGAGATAAACCTCCACTTCAGCATTACTCTAAAATGACTAATGCTAATGCCAATTAATGTTACTTCTAATTAGTTCCATCTTGAGATTCAAGAATGTTAACTCCAAGGTAAATATTATAACGACCTTGAGGCCCCACCTACTATAACATTTGTAAATCTCTTTAAGAGTGATTATTACCTAAGCATATGTATATGTAAACATATGGAGTGAATTACTATCATCTGGCTCAAACCCTGAGGATCAGTAACAATAACTACTCTCTGAGCACATATACCTCAAATGAATTTATAGTTTTTTTGCTTGAAAAGTCTATATGACCTGAGTAGTAGCTTCCATTTCATGTTAGTTTCACTTATGTGTAATATATATATAGGTCAGGCAGTATATATAATAGTGCAATATGACATCAATCAAATTTTAGAGTTGTTTCCTGACTATATATTATGATTAGATGGCTATATTCATTATTTAAAGGATTATTTCTTATACAGACAAAGTTCTCTCTCTGAGATATTAAGTCAAACTAAATGCTTACCAACATTTAAGCTTTTCAAGATTTCCTCTATAGATACTGATATCCCCGGCTTTTTGATACTCTCAATAAGATGGCATTTTCAAGATTTCAACATGTTGTAGCACGCAGTTGATTTTTAATCTTGGGGAAATCTCTGCAGTATCCTAGCTACATACCCTAGCACAGTGATTGTCTAGTTATATAAAGCGCCCTTTTAAAGAAAAAATATCAAATTCAAGTAAAGGATAGCGTTGCAATTTATTGAGAAGACCCATAACTAATAAAATATAACTTAAAACTATTTCAAATATTTATGATGTTTTGATGTACTTATGGCCTATTGAAGGGATTTCTGAATACTGTTAAATCCGATAAGAAGTAGGTTATCATTTTAGTGTTAAACTACTTTTTACTGTAACCACATACTAAATAAAGTATATGCATATTAACAGTTTTTTATTAATATTTGAGAAGGTAAACTATACTTTAAATCAAATTTGAATTTTAAGGTAAGTAGAGAATGCCTTTGTCCAAATTCTAAAAGCACTTGTAAAATTGACATTTGTCCTTCATCTGTTCATATATTCAGTGCAACATTATACTGTTTCGAATAAGTAAATATAGTTTTTTATTAGATTTTGTAATTCACACCTGTAGCATTTATAAGTATGAAAATCCTTGAAATCATAAGTTTCTTGGTTATTTCATTTTAATAGAGGTCTTTTAAGTATATTTGAAATGAATGCCAATATAGAGTCCAACCCATTTTTCAATGACTTAATTTGATTCTGAAGTGAAAGTAGAAACCTTGTACACAAATAGAAAAAACATTCCTTCTTGATTGAGAAGAAAAGCCAATATGTCACTTTTTATATAGCGCCATTGCACCAACATTGCAATTTTTGTATCAAGACTAAATTGCATGTCTATAAATTTGATATTGACCCCCTCTGTTTTATGTGTTTCTTGGCACATTTGAATTGATGCGGAAATTGGAAGTATTTTCTGAGTTAATGTACAATGGTTGTTCACTTTGATATGCCTAATTTAAAAACATTTTTCATGAAAATTAAGTGTAAAATTATGTAGGTTTGGTCCACATCAAAAGGAAACTATATATTGGTTTCATGCTTGCTTTACCATGAATTATATAAATGTACATTTCAGAACTTAGTCTTCTTGGTGAAAGGTATTTTCATTTTTTATAGAGTTGTATTATTATACTTGTTTATTTGACTTTATTATGAAAGGGTTATAA